TTCAATGAGAAAATGGCTCGTCATTGAGGGTCACATTCAGTCACTGGGTCCTGGCGATTTACCTCCACGTTGCAACTGCCTAGATCACGGCCGTTAGAAACAGAGCCGCATATTATGTGAACATCCGGGATACATGTGCAACGACCCTTGGGTGAAAATTAAGGTTATGAGCGTAGGTAACATTTGAAAATGTCTTCTGTTCAAAGGTACGAAAAGATGAACGCTAACGTCTGGACAAAATTACTATGTCGAACTTTAAAGGCTTTGGCCATTCATGCAAGACAAAGAATGCTATCTGCTTTTCTCCATTTCTTGACATCATTACTGAAGCGCCTACGAGGTCTTTCTTATCACTTGTACTTGTGCAATCAATGAGTAGACAACGCAGTAAATAGATGTTGTCATGCTTTCATTATGGTTAATATGAACAATGGCCAGCAGTCCTTTTGCCTTAATTCATAGTCAGCGTTCCTCTAGACAGAATTGCAATAAAAGACATAAAGCACTATACCTGCCTCGGATACCAGAGCTTTATGTGTCTACCGTTCCACATTTTACGATAAACTATCATGGGCTACCGTAGCGGCAGAAGAGTATATACTTCATCGATCTTACGGTTTGGCCGCTGAACGTCTCCAGAACGACAATGCTGACAGAGACTGGGTTTTGAAAAGTATGTGAACGCAATTTACAAAAAGGTATTGTCCACAGGACGAACTACTGAAAACAACAAACATTATTTACCAAAAGAAAAACTAGGCATTTTCAGTATAGGCATAAACGGTATCTCCCAAACTATATTCATTTGTCTTGCTTACTCTTATAGATTGAGTCGGTAAACTTTTTCGCCTGTTCCTGGGTAATCAGCTCATGGAGGAGCTACTATATGCATATGTTCCAGAAAAATGTTTAGCTATGCACAAAGCAGTAAAAGGACAAGTTCTTATGGAACTATGTTGCATAAGAAAAACGTTCGTCATTCATCCGACATCATAATCAGGATTCCGTTCAAGTTTCTGGGTATTGCCTCAGGTTTTAGTTTATATATTTGTACAGAAAACTCGGAGACCAGTGCAAGAGCGTACGAGATGAGGAAGTGAGAAAGTTGCTATTTGCGACGACCTTGTTTTGTAGATATTTTCTAAAACGGATTTATAACGCTCTATGGAAAGGGTCGTAGTCGACTGTGACGTAGGCGGCATGTGTATAAACATATCTAAAACGAAAAGCCTCATAATTTCTTATTTTACTGCCTTCTGCTCTCTTCAGAAAAATGGAGAACCAGTGGAGCAGCTAGAGAAGAACAAGCACTAGGGTTGTGTTTGGTGGTGATGGAAAATTTAAGAAAGAGATCGCCTGGCGGATTGGAGAGCCAACGGCGTGAGTTAGCCCGAACCGTTGTCTCTAAAGCAGAGATGAGGTTGAAGACTAAACTGTCTGTATTCAACTTGATCTTCCTCCCATGCTCGGCACGGTCATGTGTCATCGACTATGGCTGAAAAACTTCGACCTGAAGTTGACTTACGCTTCTCGACATGATCCGCAGTACAGATATCAGAGAGAGCCTTGCTGTACGGCCCATGATTTTCCAGATTCAGAAGTCAAAGCTGTGATAGTCTTGGAATGTGTTGGGAATGCTTCCAAAAAGGAAAGCGAAACAGTTACTACTTGCACGATCGACCGGCCCAAAACTAAGATGACGGTCTAAAATAACCTAGGGCAAGTCAGTCGACATATTCTGCTCGAATCGAAGCACTCAAGTTATCTTCTGCCGAAGTTCAAACGATGGCAAGGGATCCGGAACTTTGATGGCAATGTCTGAAAGGACAAGCGGTCATCGAAATTCAACTGACAAACAGAAAACACCATAAATATAAAAACTCCAGCGTACTGGACGATGACCGTAACGAAACACATGATATGAACGAAACTGCCCCTATGCTGTCAGAAGAAATACGAAATGCAACGAGGCAAATCAAGAGGTACAACGCTCCTCATGGAGAAGGATTGAGTGAAAGAGAAGAAAGAGGTCATGAATCTGATGAACTGCGATATTACCATGACGAATACCTTATTAGGTAGCCGTCGGGAAATTCCTCGAAGTCGTAGAGCTGTATGTGCTTTCGTATAAATACGATGAGTATTTCCAGCAAACGCTTCACTTTCGTACCTTCATGATATGGGCTCTTGAAACGAGGCAAGACATTACCAAAACGTATTGCTCTTCTTGTTTAACAGAAATGCCTACCTTAAGAAACTTTCGCCCGTATCGAGCCCGTACTTTGTACTGGCTTTCTTTGGCCATCAGTTCAAAGCGTTTTGCATCAAGTCGAATTTCTCTGAGCAATTCTTCGGTAGACAAACAGGCGAAAAGCGGATGTTCACACAGCTCAGTCAGTGAAACGTATCCTACAAAATATAACTAGGCACGTCAACTGCAGACTTCGGAAAACTCCGCCGGTACTGCTTCATCTTACCGTCACCAGTGACGTCCAGACCTTCCCTCAGCGCTCCATACCTCAGCATATAGGCCAATTTCTTTCCGATTTGAGTTTTGCGCGTAAGCTCAAGCTGAGACTTTGCGTAGTCGTGCATCTAAGAAGTGCAGGTGAAAATCTGACTAGAACTCATACAAAAAAGCAGACTTAAGTTCATCTTAAACATTTAGACTGAAGTCACACATCTGCTACAGAATTAATGTCCGGATCTTAAAAACATCTTGAAAGTTTTAAAACCTCATGACAAATTTATAATTGTCGACTATGAGGGACTAAACAAGCACGCATAGTACAACTGAATTGCTATTATTATGCAAACGCTGTAGAATAGGGATAATGCCGCGTATTCAGTCCTACATATGTATGACTAGATTGCGGATCCACATCGAAACGGTTTATTCAGAAGAATATATACAGTCAGGCACTTAGTCATCCGACACATTACTACACAGAAACGGTCCCTATTGTAGTGTTGGTCACTGTTTAGACCAATGAGTCTCCCGGATTTGAAGCTTTCTTCATAGTGGTGTTCATCCGGCCAGCTACAAGGTAGGTATACAGAGTTCCTGGTCGTGCGCCGTGGGTGAATCAGCGTCAATGGCTGATGCCGCTTTTATGATGATGCGTAGTTTTCTGTAGACGACAATGGAGTATGTAGGTTCGAGGATAGCTGGTACGCCTCGCGCAGCGTAGTCCTACTGTTCCGTTGCTTCTACTTCCCGAAGCATGCATCCGCTTCACGGTTTTCATATAACATATATGTTACCACAGCTAAGAGCAATGTAGCGCCACAATACGCTGCAAAATTCGGATTCGATGAGTCATTCCTTATTTGACATATTGGATATACGAACGACTTATGATGTCTATGCGGAAATATATGAGAAGTACTAGTTTGTGAACCATCGTTCGCCAAGAGCGCCAAGTGACTTTATCGGACCTGATAATGAGAAGTATCTGGCACTGAACGTGCCTAAATACCACGGAGTCGTAACCTGAAAAAATAGCCTCAGGAAACTAATAGTACGAAAGTTGTGGAATACACTGTGAAGTCTGGTTTTGCTAGAGCCATCCCTTATTTACTGAATGATTTGTTTTTTGATACGTAGTTATGAAGTCCAAGGGGAAAAATAAAAATTTGCTTACTTGCAGTCGACACATTTCGTTTCGGCGACAGTGGCAGAATTACCAAACCTTATGGTAACCTTTCATAAATGAGATTTTACCATCTTTTATCATTTGATCGTCCTAGCTATGTATCAAGAAAATATTCCAATGATAGTTTATCACAGCTTTTAATTAAAGTTCATCGCTGAATCCCACAGATAATTAATTGATATTGGAAGATACAGGGGCAAATATCAAACGCATTTGCAGATTTGCAGGACACTACTGTAGCTGGTGCCATTCTATCCAGGACTTCGGCTAAAAATGTCATGTCACTAAGGTTTTAATGAGAGGCTGAATGAATGAATCACAAAAGCCGGAGCGTTTATTAATCTGCACAGGAGCGACACAGTGATAATTTTACGGCATAAAAAAAGCTTTTAATGGATTTCGGCTTCAGGTGTAGGCAAAATAATCACATATACGATAACCACGTAGTAAAAGGATCGACAAAACCCACACAGCACTAACATATTCGAGGTAGCACCTTTGAAGCACCTCCTACCGATCAAACAGATTAACTACGGTTAATTTGATCGTCAAGTACAATTAGTTATTCAATTTTGAAATTAAGGATTTGACCTTCTGATATTTAATCGGCAAAATGTGTAGTGTCAAAATTGCAAGCATGATAATAAAATGTTACAAATTTCGGCTTCACGTTTCATACGCTTTTAAATGGCCACACCAGAGCAAAATGCTGCTTCCAAATTGTCATGATGGCACTGTGCAAGAGGTCGGATTTTAACTACGAAGGTTCCGCATTTGAATGCGATTAAAGACAAAGATTTATACTAATAACTCTTTTCATTCAGCAACAAATTTACTCATGTTTGGCTTGGCGCATCTATCCGACGAGTAGATAGCATATCGCTGACTTGCGAATAACGGAGATACCTTGAAAATTGAACATTCTTTAGTCGAGAATATTTCCATGATCATTATGTTTCTCACAGGTCTGCTCCGCGTGTATACTTTATCACACAAATCACTGACGCTTCGAGCCATACTCGTTTCGCCATCAAGATGAGTAGTGCAAGCAGACATGCAGGATCAAGCAGTTTAAGTCGATTTATATTCTAAAATAGGTCGTCTTAATTCAAATCGTTAATCCAGATTATTTGGGCTGCATCCGCTGTGCTAAAATTTCAAGCAATAAAATATATGGAAACTCTACCGAGGTGATGTATTTTTCCGTTCTCCGATTGTGCTTCAGCAGCTTAATCTGAACGCGCTTGGTGGCCCAAACTTAACTTCGACATGCTGAATAGAAAGATGGATTAAGGGCGTTTCGCACAGTAGAATGAACTACTCTAGCATTTTTCTGATGAGCTTATTCTTTTGCGTTATATATGAAAAATAGTTTTCATCCACTTTTTGGTTTAGTTTCCTGCAACAATTTCAAAGACAATCGATATATTACGAACAAACTTTCGACGGCTTTAGAAATCTACGAAACTGTGCAAGAGAGTCTCCATTCATCTACTTTACCAAGCGTACTTCGTTAGTAGCGAATCAATCGCTGCAGCACGTAATTTTTTGCAAAGAGGACAGACGTACCATATCACAGTCATAATGCACATGCACATGCAAACCGAACGATTACAAACACGTTGAATGAAACGTTGAACTAATGAATGAATAAAACGCTAACACGATGAAACGGAAAGTTATTACAGTGGAAATTTGCTATAGCTAAGGTAGTTCATACCATTGTGCGAAACGCGCTTAATCCAACCTTTATGTTCAGCATGTCGAAGCGATACAGAGGATGCAGCACAAATAATCGGGATCAACGATTTGAATTAAAAAGACCTATTGTAGAGGATAATTCGACTTAAACTGTTTGATCCTGTATGTTGTTTGCAGTACTGTATCTTGACAGCGAAACGAGTATGGCTCGAAGCGTCAATGATTTGTGTGACAAGGTATATATGCAGAGCGGACCTATAAGAAACATTACGATCTTGGAAATAATCTTCTCGACTAAAGCAAGAATGCTTCACTTTCAAGGTGTCTATTATTCGCAAGTCAGTGATATGCTATCTATTTATCGGTTGGATGCGCCAAGTCAAACTTTGGTAAATTTTTTGCTGAAAAGAGTGATTGATATAAACATCCCTGATCGAATTGAAATGAGGAACCCATTGTTTGCCCGCCTGTTTGCCATCTAGTTCTAACCTGTTTGCTTCGGCCACCGGCTTATTACGCATTTTCTGTTAATGCGTTGATCCATGAGCCAATGATTGGGCACCCAGAATCTAAACATCTCAGATTAAGAGATGTGATTCGACTCCAGAGGTGATTTCTTTGATTCCGCTCAAGGGAAACCTTTGTCTTATTTTTTTGTATTCCCTTTATAATTAATTTACCATATCATGCTACAGATCAAGCTTGATATTGAAGGCTTCTTGGAAATGACGTTTTCTGAAGGACTGGCATGTGGGATTCATCTATACGAGGTCAAGAGGATAAAATGTTGTTCAACAACAAGGTTAGCGAGCTGACGTTCCATTCTCTGAGCTTAGAAATACTTTGAAGATCTAGGTTCAGGCCATTTTCATGTAACGCATAGATCACAGTCATGTTTAATATATACGTTGATTTCATTGGACACTCGCTTACTGACGTGTTGTTTGCTTTTGTGATCCTTTTGACTAACGTACTTGCTGGTTAACTGGTGGATTTGGATATAAAAATTTTTTGTTCAGTTGTTTTGTTGAAGGCACCTAATGTTCTGAAATTTTTGGACCACAGTAAATCAGACGAAATCACTCCTGAAGCATTTGACGATTTCTGTAGGGCTTTAAAATGCGCGATCTCGAAACACGACTCTTCGTGCTGAGTTCGTGAGTAACAATAATAGCGGCGTATCAATCAGAGTACATTAACAAGGGCACCTAATATTTCTCCTTATATATTACTGGTGCCGTGCTTGTTTATTGGC